TTCTTTTCTTTTATGTAAAGCACTTTGAATTACCATTGTGTATGAAATGTGCTATACAAATAAACTTGCCTTGCCTTGCCTTGCCTAAATTAACTGAAATGTATTATAAAATACTATAAAAGAAATATATAATAAAATAACAAATAATATATAATGAAATATAATGATAAAATAAAGTGTATATATATGTGTATATGTATGTATGTATATGTGTGTGTATATGTATGTGTATATATATATATATATATGTATATATGATCTATTCCTTTAACAACTGCAAAACTTCAATTATCCATTAGCTTGACAGCATGTTGATTTTCCAGCTATATTTTTGTGCTTCCTATTAGTTTAGAGCTGTTTAAACGCTGCTTGATCTGTGCAGATTTCTCTCCTGATTCAGACCAGAACACTTTTTCACTGGAGGAAGCGTTATTATGGATTATGGACTCATATTTAAGTTAGAAACGTTGTTTCAGCTTTGTCTTCTCCAGATGTTAACTGATGGACTGGAGTGCTGTGGATTATTGTGATGTTTTTATCAGCTGTTTGGACTCTCATTCTGACGGCACCCATTCACTTGCAGAGCATCCATTGCTGAGACACTGATGGAATTTCTCCAAATCTGATGAAGAAACATCTATGTGGCAGTTCACACCCACTAGCTAGTGTAAGTCAAGCTGTCTAGCTAGTATCCATTTGACCTCTGGGGCCATCATCATGGGTCATATGTTAAACACACACACCTGCAGGTCTCGGGCCCTCTCGTTGGACTGGTACGCGATCTTCTCCTCCATGCTGGCCAGCTCTTGTTTCAGGTTCAGGATCTCATTCTGGTGGAGCTCTGTCAGATCGTTCACTTGTTCCTCTAAGCGCTCACACCTACAGAAACACAACACAAGAAACACAGTCACTTCCTGTGCTCTGCGTCAAAGACAAACATGAGCGTGATTCTGCAGGAGAGTGTGTTTATGTGAGGGAACGAGACCTCGTGCATGTTTTGGTCTTTACTTATGTACACGTAATCATCTCAAAGTGTGATGGAGCTTCACTGGTCTGAAGAATCTAGAGACAAAACCACAAACTGATGACTAATGGATCAGTTTTAAACAGCTTTAACACTCAATTTAAATGCACTTAATGGAAGAAAACAAGAGTTCTGTCATTTTTTCCCTCCTCACGAAGGCACAAAGCGTGAGAACAGTCACAAATCTCTTTTACATACAATAACCATTCATCGTGATTACAGCTGTAAGGCTCAACAAAAATATGATACAGGCTCTAAAATCTCATATTCAGATTCAAGAATGGCCAGATTTGACATGTAATCTTAAAAGAGTGTGAGCACTGATATATATATATATATATATATATATATATATATATATATGTATATATGA